AACATTGTATGACAAATATGAGATGCTTTTATTTATATGAAAAGAAAATTTTTCGAGTATCTAAACAGTGTATAACTAACTAATAACAAGCTCTATTCTCGTTATACATAAACATTTCTCTATCCAATTAATCTAACCACCACCACCACAACCTCCTCCACCACCACCACCACCACAACCTCCTCCACCTCCACCACAACCTCCTCCACCTCCACCTCCACCTCCACCTCCGTCTGCTGCTGCTGCTGCCCCACCTCCAAAAAATCCTCCTCCTCCGTTATTGCTACCGGGGTCATCAGCGCAGTCTCCACAAGAAAAAATAAACATGGACATAATTGACAAAGATATAACAATCATACCAAGCATGAAAATGAACCCCATAAAATCTTCCTCACTTGCAGCATCGCCACCATTTGAAACAACAAAATACCGAGCCATGTTGATCGAGCAAAGGTAAATATTTTTGGGATTACTCAACACTAATATGAATATATATAGTTGGATGTGAAGTACATATCAAGGGATCATTTTCATTTACAACTTGTATGAACCGCAACATCGCGGACCATTCCCCTCAGCCGACTTTTAAGAACATGTTGTTACTCTTATTCATCCATAGAATTTGAGGACACAATTTATTTGTAAAATTTTAGTAGCTCACGTCGTCGCCATTTTTAATGAAATTTGACTAGTACGTGACAAGTGGACGAATAATTTAAATTGAGATTAGTCAATTCATGCACTGGTTTTGTGTTTATACCTTCAAGTGATTTCATCTCATCTACTTTCAAAGCTGAAAAGTTTTCCACCAATCAATCGGCTAACATATGCCAAAAAATTCGTTCATTTGTCATAAAATAACTTGAGAAATACTAGAAAGAATCTAACAAGATACAGCAAAGCTATTACGTAGGCCCAATTGAATTCAAGAGCTCGATTTTTTATTTTTTATTTTTTTGGCGCCAATGTTAAACCTTTCTCTTTTGCTACTAAATTCTATTTTCACGAAATGGCTTAGAATTTCGATATAACTTCTTAAAAAAGGTAACTGGAATAAAATAAGAACCAACCCAGAAAACAAGCAGTGAGAAAGAAAATGACCTGTGGAAAGTCAAGGACTGCTGCTTAAGGGCCATATAGCCATGGGCTTGTCTGCAGTTTGTCAAACGATTACGAATTCATTGAAATTCATGCAGTGTGTTTTTCATTGATTTCTTGAATAATGACACTTTGCCAGAAAGACAATGCCTTGACATAATGATTGTTGACAAAATGTAAGTGGATGAAAAAGTTGACTGTCGTTTAAATAGTTCAATAATAGAATTTCAAATGGCATTATGTTAAGAATTATGTCAACATATCTGTCAATGTAGCATGATTATATTTTCTTTGGACGTAGATTGTTCCATTAGGATGACAATTTGCCCGGTCAAAACCCGAGCAGCCCCATCAATATCCACCCGATTGGGGTGGGAGGCAGTTTCAGGGCGGAGGTAGGCAGGGTGGTGAGGTTCCCCCACCACATATAATTTTTTATTTTTAGTTATCATATTTTAGATATTACATTAAATATTTGTTGTTTATATTGAAAACAAATACTTAAATAATTGTGACATAAAAAAAATCAACTACATTGATTATAAACCCTCATTCTTTAATATGATTTGTAGTTTTTCGACGTGGAAAAAAATGAATCCCGTACTAAAGCGCCAATTAGGGGCAGAGCTAGAAGGCACAAAAAAACCTTATACTGGACTGATACATTAAAAACTAAATTTTCATTAGAAAAAGAGAATTTTTGTTTTAAAAAAATATCTCTTACAATAAACTGATATAAGGAATTTCATAACGAATTCTTTGTGTAAATGTGTTGAAAGATAAATTTAAGAAAAAACTTGTCGTTAGTAAGTATCAAGTTTTATATATTTGGATAGGTTATTAAGTAGATACGTGGTCTTCTCATTTTTAGTCCATTAGTACAATTTTTGTACTTTCATTTTTGTAAATATAAACAAGGAATTAATAATTTAAATATTCAAATACCTCATAGAATTTATAGGAAAATAAATAAATAAATTATAAACGGGCACCCCCATCCCTGCCCGGCCTTAGGTGGGGATTAGGACGGTGGCAAAATTTGTGGACGAGGCACAGGACATGTCGACACACACTCTACCTTCATTACCATCCCTATGCCCGATTACGTGACAACACAGGTAGTAT